AAGTGCAGAGGGACATGAGATGGTTGTTGTGACAGAGGAGCAGTGGGATGACGACACTGAGGCAGATGATCTGCTGCGATGAATCCTGAAGGAAGAAGTTCAGAAAGAGAGACGGTCACTAAACATGGAAACTAGTCTGACAGTCCCGGTCGTTTTTTTTTTTTTACGTATTCCTCTAAAAACTAAATCCAATGATAATTAACATTAACAGTGATTCATTTGCACCAAACACTGAGCTGAATATTTTGAATTAATGAATCACGTCCCTGCAGTACAGGCTGCATATTAAGCTTATCTCCTTTTCACATTCCTACGTACGTTGTGACTCTCTAGACCTTTAAGGAAATTAAAATACACACGTCTTCGTCCCAAAGTGTCAAATGTCACCAGTTAACCCTGCATAATTGGTGGCCCTGGAGGGGGCATTAAGAAGTATTTACCTCATTTACCAAAGTATGTTGTGTATCAGGCCGTATTCCACAGATATTTACACATATTCAGCAGTCGTCTCTGTTGGTTTTGTATGCACAGCCGATTGCCATGTTTCCTACCGCAGTTATAAACATATACTGTAGACCAGGGGTCACCAATGTGGTACCCGGGGACACCTGGTAGCCCCCCTGGACTACCTAGGGTGCCTAAAGGGTATGTTCTAAATATATATAGAATTGGGGTCACCAATGTGGTACCCGGGGACACAATATATATCGAATTGATTTTTTTTTTTCAAAATAAAAGTAACGACGATGCAATAATTGAAAGCAATATTAATTTTCAGTAATTAACAATGAATTAAGGGAATCTTGCATAAATGTCATCTCAATCAATTACCATGTCAGTGTTGGAAAAAAAAAAAAGTGCCCGGGAGAGTGGGAGATAATTAACCATCGACTTAAATGCAGACAGATTTACTGTTAGAATATAAAAAGCTATTGCTATTTAACAACAAAATCTAGCCGTAATTGAAAAGCCTCATTTATGATGATTGAATTTACCGCCTTTCAAGCGAAGCTGTCAACCGCTAATATATACGTGTCATAATGTGGATGCGGACAGCACATTCAAACAGCAACGCGAAAGCCCTCCAACAAAGAACCCATTTCTAATGTTGAAATGAAAGGCATTGACATTCAGCAGGGACATCGCCAGAAAAGTAGTGATTAAGTTGACCCAAGAACGGTGCACCACTAAGATGATTAAGTGGGAATTAATGAGTCTGAACAAGTAATTTGGAAGTTTGGCAACGGAGATCTAAAATCGCTTAGAGTATTTTCCGGAAATAGAAGTCGCACTTTTTTTTCAACCTTTGGCTGGGGTTGCAACTTATATATTAAATTATATATAATTTCGCGTTTGTTATTTTCACACTGACAGCCACTAGAAGGCACTCTAGGTTTTTGTACCAGTTTCTGCAGCTCTTGTACTACCGATGATTTACATGTGCGTTATTTCCACACTGACAGCCACTAGAGGGCACTCTCGGCTTGTTTACCAGTATCTGCTACTCCTGTACCACTGAAAATGTACATGTTTGTTATTTTCACACTGACCGCCGCTAGAGGGCACTCTAGGTTTTTGTACCAGTTTCTGCAGCTCTTGTACTACCGATGATTTACATGTGCGTTATTTTCACACTGACAGCCACTAGAAGGCACTCTAGGTTTTTGTACCAGTTTCTGCAGCTCTTGTACTACCGATGATTTACATGTGCTTTATTTTCACACGGCCAGCCACTAGAGGGCACTCTATACTTGTGTACCAGTATCTACTACTTTGTACCACTAAAAAATTTACATGTGCGTTATTTTCACACTGATAGCCGCTAGAGGGCATTGGTGTGGCTTATACTTCAGGCACTCTATACTTGTGTACCAGTATCTACTACTTTGTACCACTAAAAAATTTACATGTGCGTTATTTTCACACTGACAGCCGCTAGAGGGCATTGTTGTGGCTTATACTTCGGAGCGACTTATACTCTGGAAAATACGGTAGTTATTGGAAACTTTAAAGTACAAAGAAGTAACCTTTCAGGATTACATGGCAGGGACTATGTCAAATAAAAACGTATCACATATAACGTTCCAATCAATGGTGTTCTCTGCAGTCGTGATAAATGGAGCAAAAACGGTAAACACAGTATTTATAATACTCGGGTGATACCCACTAGTACACAGTAAAATAGTCCAAGGAAAATTCCTGTTGTTATATACCAACACCCCACTGAGGAAGCGCAATGTCTGTGTTGTCAGTGCGATGTCGCTTAAGGCAGCACCCTCCCAAAACGCTCGGGGCCATTTTCATAATTGGTAGTTAACTGTAATGGTCTTTGCATGCGCGTACTTACAGCTCTCCAGCTCCAAGGTGCACGTCTGCGAGTCCAACGGGAAACGGCTGAAATCCATGTTGCACGCTGCGGTGACTGTAACCCTGCAGCGGTGAAACAGAATTTCAACATCACATGCTACGCCGGGACCTGCCACGTCCCATTTAGTTCATCGGAGACAATGAAGCCTTCGGGGAATTTCCCTGTCCTCACCTGAGGCTGTACAGGACATGACCGTCGCGGCCTTCGGCCCTGACAGTGCTGTTACAATTACAGTGCCGGTGGGACGCCTGGGGGGTGGGGGGTTGGGGGGGGGAAGAATGACAGTAGCCATGTCTGGATTAACTCGCAAGTTCTCTCCTCATTTGCTACGGTTTATTACATTCCCGGGGGATTAAAGTGTTGCTGTGGTCAGTAGCAGTTGGATTATGCCGAGCGTTTATGACGAACACTCGTGGTCGACAGAAATGATGAACATATGTCGGCTAAGCACAGTCGACGGCTTCTGTTGGTCTAGGATTGCTGCTGTTTTCACGCCTCCGTCCCCCTCACCCCCCCGTGATGCTACATAGGCATGTGTGCATGCATGTGTGTTTGTGTGCGTGAGTGCTACACACTGTCACAGGAGATCATCCTCTCCGCATGACGTTACATAAGACCAGATCAGTTTGGAATAATAGCGACACATTGTACTTCATTCACCATCTAAGTACCAGTCACGTTACATAAGAGGAGTTCAGTGCATTCTCAAAGTCTCCCAGATAGATAACAGTTCTATGAAGTAAACGGGTCAGAAAAAAAAGCAACGCAAGCAGTAACTTGTACTATATATACACATCAGGATCGCCAGGATAATGTAGTAATAGCGTAGTACCGATTCTTGGTGGGTCAACCAGAGCTGTCAAAATAACTTGTTAAATATATATATATATATATATATGTATATATATATACATATATATATATATTACAGTGAGTACACGTGTTGTTACTTCCAATCACTCTGGGATGAATATTTTTGTTTGAGCTTAAAATACCATCTCAGTCGCCCAGCATGCATTTTGAGGAGCTTCAATTTCCAGTCTGACGCCGGAATTAATCACGATTAATCAACGGCAGGGATGTCCGATAATATCGGTCGACCGATATTATTGACACGATATTAGCATATAACGTAATACCTGTAAGAATCGTCATCAGTTTTTCCTCCGATAATGAGAACACAATAATGCAATGCCTGTGTTTCGTCAAATGATACGTGCCCTAAAAATAGTTTTGGGGATAAACGATTGTAAATTAAAGCAAAGGTCACTAGATGGCAGCATTGCATCTCATTTAATTAATATCATACTCATACAGTGGTTTGAACAGATAAATAAATAAATATTACCAGGCCTTTATTGGTATCGGTTGATATCGGAATCGGAAATAAAGTGTTTGGGCAATATCGACATATCGGATATCGGCAAAAAGTTCATATCGGACATCCCTAATCAACAGCTACCTTGTGATTAAACTTTCTTTTTTTTCTAAATTGTTTCACACACCTAGAAACAACCGAAATGTGCGGGAATCTGGTAATAATCTGGTAAAAAGATCCAAGTATGGCTAAGTATTTTTGATGTGGTGGTTCAACTGTTATAGTGGTTTACTTAAATATCCTTTTAACTCCAGTCTCCTTTTATGTTTCAATGATTTATAAGGACAGTAGAGTTTATTTCATATTGGAAATGTTTTCGTCTAGAGATTTTGACCAAGGTATTGAGTCGAGGTATTAGAGACTAGAAAGCGTTGGGACATTTGACAAGGTATTTTTGCCACTGATTTAAAATGACATTTTTTCACATGGTTTTCCTCCGAATAAACTTTCTGCATCCAGGGGCTCCGACAATTCAAAATGGGATTGAAAGCAACCGTCAACTGGCATATGTTCTTTTTTTTGCTCTCCCTGTCCATCTGTTTCAAACCTAATAAAGACGCCGTCAAGAGCCTATATTTAAAATGACATCTTTGAATGTCCTTCCAAACGGCGGCAGAAACAACATCAGGGTGACAATTTTGTTTCCGATTTTTGATGGATGCGCAGAGCTGTGGATTTAATCGCAGCGTTCAACATTAATTTAAGATGACCAAAAATTATCATCACGTAATAGAAAATGGCTGTTTTGCCCGAAAGGAGTGTAACAGGACATTATGGACGTATATGGACGTTAAAATGCCGATAGCCTAAGTACATCCCAGGCATGAATAAGACTTTGTCTTTTTAAACTGTGTTCTGCCTATGGATGTTAGTAATAAAATGTAGCTCAGTCGCCATAGTCTTAATCGCTGTGGACTTCATGTCAACGTGTCAAGCTAATTGAATAATGTTCCTGCAACACCTTCCGCAGTTTGTTTGGCTGACTGGAGCTTCCTTCTTGTGATAAAGTATTTCCTTAAAATCAATTCTCAAACCGGCAAATTTACTTTATTTTATGTGACAGACGATTCCCCGCGCAAATAACTACTTAATTAGTTTCGTCAAACATATGGCAGTGACGCAAAAATATATATACATATATATATAACTATACTGTATATGTGAGGGTATATAAATATATATAGACATATATAAATATATAGACATATATAAATATATATGTGAGTGTATATAAATATACAATCACATATATATAAATATATGTGTGTATATATTAATATATATATATTTATAAATATATATATGCATATATATACATATATCCATACAAAAACTGGTTCAAAATGACAAAATATATATTTATCCTGCGACTTTAAAGCATTTTGCACTCACCTGTGTTTGTCGTCAGTCTCACTGGTGTCACCTGGTGCCCTGGGTATATATACACCTCTCTCCCTCACTCAGTCTTGGTGAGATCACGTGTGTGTGTGTGTTGTTTTTGGCTGTGTGTTGTTCATGCCCATGCCTTGCTCCCCATGCTTAGCTGCCCATGCTTAGCCCCCCATGTTTATCTCCCCACGCTTTGCTTCTCCT